TTAAAAAGAAAATTAATTAATTCAAAAGGTGCCCTTTACTTAATAGGCTGTGTGTATGTGTATAGACAGAGAAATGTTTTAATACAGGTCTTACTTTAAAAAAATTGGGCTGAATAAATAATTTTGGATGAGCACCCACCTTATGCACAGGTATGGGAGAATAATTTAGGTAATTTTTAAAAAGCAGATAGATGTTCTGTCTGGACTACTTTTACAACTTATCAACCAAAAGCAATCAAAGGATTGTACTTTATGCTACTAAGAATTTTTTTAATTATTAAAAAATAATATACTTCCTGTGCAAGGATTCCCTTCAAATGTTCAAATCATACTCAGTATTATTGGAATGGGAAAGGACAGATTGATTTATACTCTAGCTTTTAGACGGAAATGTCCAGCCATTTAGAATTTTCTAGCTTGGGTTTCTCGTGTATAAAATGATGGCCATGTTTGGAATGTTCCATAGTAGTGGTGGTTTCATTTTGTTAGACGTCTGGCCTAGTTTGCCCTGTTGTTTTATACTTTTGGTGGCTTTACTGTACATGACTCGGTAAAGTTTGCCAAATCCTTCACTTTTTTCGATTCAAGTTTTCCTTACAAAGCCACTTCTGCTAACAACCAAAGCAACACTAACAGTTTGGCAACATCCGTATCTCTGATTTCTAAACAGGGCAATACAATTTTTGGAACAATTTAGGCTCTGCGCTTCTTTGATGACTGCTGTATTTGTAGTGGAGCTCAAACAGTTTTCCTGTAGTGGTACAGACAGTAGCATGCTGAAGATTTCCTTAATGCTCTTAGAAGGGCCATCTGAGACATTCTAGACTTTGCTATGGAGCTGTACAGCAACCGCTTTGCAGTTCTGAAAATAATGGGGTATTGGGAGCCCACACACCATGAGGCCCCAAAGGGCTCCTTGCCACTTGGCTTCCCATTCGGTTTTGACTCGAGAGGATACTTTCCCCGAAGCATTCATTTGAACAGATAGCAAGCTCTCCGCATACTAATTGGCAATGTTGTGCTTGAAAATCCTTGCCGAGGTTCAGCCAATCTGTGCGTGAGCCCACATGGTATGACTCACCTGTTCTCCCATCCCTGAATTGTGGGTACATGCCTGAAATAATGACATAGCCTAGTCCAAATATGTTTGTACAGCTATTCCTCACTTGCTCACCTACAGTAGGCATTCTCCAATCCAGGCAGCTAACCAAGAAATATATAGCCTGTAGGAAGGCCAAAGCATATATATGCATTATTTGCAAACAAATAATTCCACAACCTTTTATGTCATGACACTGAATGATAGTGCTGATGAAGAAAAGCACTGGAATTCCAGATCATGAGTCATCCACCCACATTCTTGAAGGTTTTTCCCAGTGCTTTTTTACACAAACCATGCAATATAAGAGAAATAAGATTTTACTCTGGGTACTGTTCCCTTCCCCACAACCATGAGAAAATGCTTGCTATTGATTCAAAACCACATGAAACACTCTGAAGGGGAGGGAGGGATGACAAACAACAGACCAGATAGAGTCCATCAGGAGCAAGCACAGGTCTACAATTTAAATGTTTTTATCCCAGTCTGTTTATGTGCAGGCCGAGAATACAATCCTGTAATTGCTGGAATGAATTTGCCTCAGAAAATGTGCTTCTGTGAATTTCAGTTGCACATATTTTGTTTAGGAATGTTGAGCTCAAGCATCTGTGCATATGTACACATGCGTGTGCATGATACAACTTTGTGAATGGTGAGTGGATTTTGAAATGTTGTGAATTTTTGTTTGGGAATATTCTGATCCAAAATAGAGCAGAGGCTCAGAAGGGGATAAACTTCAGGAAAAGAGGAACAAATATCCATCTGCGTGTAGCAAGGATAAACACTTATTAAATAGCACCATTAAGTCCTCAGTCTACTAAGTTATAGGAGGTAGACGATTATACTTTTACACACACACACACACACACACACACACACACACACACACACACACACTTACAGATATACAATCCATATATGTAAGTGACTAATTTCAATTGCTGCAAGGGTTCAGGCCTATGGTTCCCAAAGATCTTTTGGGAGCACATCGGATTTTGCAGTGCCTGAGAGCGCCTTGGCGCTCAGATGTTGAAGATCAAGCCCTGCCCTTCTTCCTTGGAGTCAGCACAAAACCATTACCCTGACTGCCCCCAGTTTCTTCATACCATGCACAAGTCTGTACAGCTGTACCATGCCCCCCTTTTGCATGGTACAGCTGTCATCCCAGATGTTGGAAGCACTCTTCTCAGAGCGGTGGCCCAAGCGCCGGAAGCATTTGCGTGCCCCTTGCCTGCACTCTTCCCCTCTCTGCATTGTGACCAGAACTGTGCACAATATCCCAGGCGTGGCCGCACTGCAGATTGTCTGAGCAGAGTGTGTCCTTGGCAGGCGTCTTTTCAATTCCCTCCCGACTTACAGGCTTTCCTACATGAGATCTTTGACCTGCTGCTTTACCGAGGCTGCTGCTTCCAAATTCTTTGCAGGATTAAAGTGGTCTGCTTTACACATAGTTTTGCCAGGGGTTCGCCTTCTCTGCCTTTCATATATTCCATTGCACAGCCACTAGGAGGTGCTGTGGTATAGCAGAATTGCGCAACTATGCAAGACATTCACACTGTCGTTCGTGTTCCTACATAGGTAGATTTCCCTCATTTAATCTATATTTTGGAGAAATAGTGAAATGGTTGCAAAGAAGAGGAGAGGCCCTGAAGGATGCCAAGACTGTGTAAAGATGTGCCTGCTACCCTGGCTGAGGAATCACGAGTGCACAGGAAATGTGTCATGCAGAAATGTTCTGTCCCTAACATGATATTTGTCTTTTTCACAGCAGCCACACTCGGGGTTAACATTTTTACCGAGTTGTATGCCACAACCTCAAGATGCTACTGGCCACAAAAACTAGTGGGGTTATGCCTGATCCATCCTAGCACTGGGTTAGTCTCTCTCTCTCTCTCTTGCCACCCAACTCCTTTGTGGCCCAACAGCTGCAAAAAGTGAAGGTGCCTTTCTGAACCTGAGTTTTTTAAAAATGATATTAAACCTTAGCCTTCGACACATCCAATTTACTTCACCTAGAGCATAAATATTTGGTCTTGCTGCTAGATGTAACCCCCTAATTTTCCTGCTGGCATTTATTCTTGCATTGACATTGATGGAAAGGACAAAAATTGGAGTTACTCTGTTAGGGAAAATGACCCGTTATTTTAGTTGTGGAATGACGATTGCCAATGCTCAGCAATAAAAGAGATAATTTAGTGAAGCACCAAGGTAACCTTTTCGAGGCTGTTTGTTCTCCTAAGCCATTGTGCCACGGAGCTACCACTTTAAAATGCAGCACTATTTTAGGTAAAGTTATCCTTGAGTTCTTCACTGGTGATGAAGTAGCTGTGTAGTTAGTTAATGTCAGCCTAGAGAAGGAACGGCCCAGAGGAATCACACATTGACAGGAAAGAAAAGGCAGATTCATACAGTATTTGCATGTAGACCAAATGCTGGCATTGACCATTGCATATTAGGAGTATTGCAGACAGAAACATTGCAAAGGCATCAGTTGCTCTTGTGACTCCAAGTGGAAGGTGGCAAAAGGACAGCAGACGAACAACCAAGAAGGAGTATGACTGCAGGCAACGAGGGCACCGAGGCCACAGAGTTTTGCAGAGTGCAGGGTATAATTCTGATATGAATGAAAATAAAATCAGAGCTAATAGGACAGTCTTGGGATTTCTGCTTTGATTTTGTAAATGGTTTGGTTTTAATAATAATAACAATAGATGATGATGATGATGATGATGATGATGATGATGATTTACAAGAGGCTGTCAAGAACAGGGCATTTGGAGGGCCTTTGTCCATGGGTTCACCATAAATTAGAGATGGCTTGACAGCACATAACAACAGCAGCAAAGATGACGATGACGATGAGGTCTGTGAGGAATAGCCAAGAGGGCCTTTCTATCTGTAGAGGCATCGGCTACAGAGAACCATGAGCTAGAGTTGGCCAATAGACCAGGATGGACAAAGGCGTCCAGTGCACTGTCCCATTGTCAGCTGAAGACCAGCTAGGATGAGATGAACAGGTGATGGGAGAGGTCAGGTAGAGAAGTAGCCTTGCATTGTTCAGAAATATGAGACAAGAAAATGCAACGATTCAAGAAACATAAAAGGGAAAATGTAGATCTGAGGCCCAGGCAGGACAATGGGATTCAATGAAAAGGTAAAATCTCAGTGAACCTCAATACAGAAGAAGCAAGTTCACTGAGCTGGTCAAAACTGTCACCTGGTGACTTGGCACAAGAGGGTCCTAGAAAGAAAAAAGACAGTGAAGATGCTTAAACAAAGCCCACAGCAATGACATACATCAACATATGCGCCCAGGATAGCATGGCTGGAATGCCGTAAGAAAGCGGGAGTGCCTGAGAGGCAGTCTGCCCACCTCCAGGCTCTGTCGTCCAAGCAGATGGCTACAGACTTTGAACCTGCTTTTGATTAAATTTTGGAAGGAGCAGTAAATAAAGGAAAATAACTCAGCTGACAATGGGCACTGAAGCATCCACAGAGCACTGACACATACAGATTATAAGGTTTTAAGATATGGCTTTAATATAAGTGTTGTCTAGGCAAGCAGGTTCTCTATGCACTGTGTGTTTTTGATGCCCAAGACTCTAGAAATCAAGGCGGCCGTTGACACTAGCAAAAGGAGAGGGAGGCAAACAGAGCTTCTAGACACAGAGCAATGCTGCTTTTGCATATGGCAGTCTTGGCCATATTTAAGTTTGTACATTGTTTGCAATATGAACCAAATACAAAGCTATCAATAGAATAAATAGCTCTCCTGCAAGGGACATTTACATGAAATATTCTATTGATATATGTTTGGTTCTACACCAGCAAAAGGTCTATTGGACGAAAGAAGAAGGTTACAGCATCTGTAACTTTGATCTTCTCTTCTTTATTGTCTTACCATGTGAAGGTGTCTGGTTTGCAGGACTTAATATCAGGCGGTTATAATTTTGTTCTTGGTCATCTGAAATTCAATGAAAAGAGAATTCCTTTTTAGGAACAGCTCACCAAGGCTCTAAGGGCCTGCAGGCAATAATTACAGCTCACATTATTCATGGGAAACCTCTGCATGATTAAGGAGAAGAAAATGCTTAACAAAGCGGAAGTGTCTTTCAAGTTACTCTCTTAAAAATTCAGTTGTGAGAGAAACCTGTTAATGAATAACAATACCCGTCCTGTGGAGCCACAAACTGGATATTCAGCAAAGTAAGATGCACATTCAAAGCACAGGCATCTGTGACACAGTTTTCAGCAGCCAGCTTGTGACCTAGAGAAATCTTGCATTCCTCAAGTGTAGCAAAACCAGTTCGTGTGTTGTACGCACATCGGGCACGTGTGTGCAGAAGGGGAGCGACCTGTCTTGCCGGCCCAGGCTTGCTGCACCCAATATCTGCTCCTCAGCTGTGGCCCTCTGAAGAGGGACCCTCCCGAGCACTGAGCACGCAGAGGGGCTCCCCTTTAGATGTCCGGGGTCAGTGGGTGGGCGAGCCTAGGCAGGAGGGGGGCAGTGTCCTGGCAGGGCCTTTGCAGAGCCTTGCTCTTTCCGCACAGGAGGCCCAGCACATACATTACACCTGAATGGGGCGATCATTTGATTGTGGTGACTGGTAGCTTGCAGGGATGAGGCCCCAGCAGCTGGCCTGGGATGGGCTCCACGCAGAAGCCCCCTGAAGTGTGAAGGTCGCACACAGAGAACTCCTGGGAAGCTGTGAGTCGCCAGATGGCTCGTGTCTCCAAGCTACCCCTCCATTCTGTTGCTTTCACCTGTGGCAGCAGGATCCGTATGCAGGAAAATGGCCTGCCACAGCACTGGCCCAGAATGGCCCCACCTTTTGCTTGTTTGTGAGCAGGGGCATGGGCAGGGCGGGGTTTTGCACTTTTCTGGAGGTGTAGCGGAGAAAGTCAGGACCTGGCAAACTTCTCTTCTGGGATGAGGTTGCTGTGGCCGCAACAAATCCCCTACACTAGCTGTGGGCACAAGGAAGATCTCCAGATGCTCCCAGAAGCCCCTGCAGCATGGCCAATGCTGCTGAAGGCTGGAACTTGAAGTCTTTAAAAACCCTCCAGAGATCTACTTTCTGCCCACCTTTGCCCTAGCCAAGGCGGTATCAGCCACCAATGAAACACTCAGGTGAGTACCAGCAAAGGCACCAATGATCTCTGGCCTCTTTTAGTCCCTAGTACCCCTCCCAGGTCAGGGCAAATGCTGCCACCACCAGGTGGGGCACTGTGACACAGTTTCCCTTGCAGATACCCCAGCCCAAAGTCACGGGGCTGGCTCTGGCAGAGAACTTGCAACTGTGTATTTATCCCCACAGCGCCCCTCTCCCTGCACTGGCTTCAAAGAGCTGCAGAATCTTGCTTCCATGGCTCCCCTCTGTGTACCTCCAAAGGATCTTTGTCTACCTGAAAAAATGTGTCTTCATTCCCATCCTGAATTCCAGCAACAGCTTCCTCTTCCTAGTCCCCAGGTGATGTGAGGAGACCATGTGCTTGAGGCTGCTGGTGCTCTCTGCCCCAGGCTGCACTGTTTGTTGCATGCTGCCTCCCGGAGGAACAGCTCGGCACCTGCCTTCTCAGGACAGCCGCGCGTGGAAAGAGGGAGCCCAGCCAGATAAACTGTACAGCCCCCCGGGGTCTGCAACCCACAGCACTGCACCTTCTAGGCATGGCACTGATGATGAAGGAAGAGGAGTACCGGATGTGGATAAGAAAACCAGGGCCAACACACTAGTTGTCACAGGGGAAACTCATGACTTGTGGTGTGGTGGTTAAGCGCACCGGACTGGGACTCAGGCGATCTGCGTTCTAGTCCCCACTCAGCCATGGAGCCAGCTGGGAGGCTTCAGGACAGTCATGGACTCTCGGCTCAACCTACCTTGCAGGGTTGTTGTTGCCAGGGCAAGATTGAGCACAGGGGGAGAAGAATGATGTAGGCTGCTTTGATTTTGATGTAAGAAAAAGTGGGATATAAATCAATCAATCAAACAAAGTTGAATCTCCCAGTATAATTCACTGCTTAAACCAGTGGCGGAGACTCCTAATTTGGACCAGAAATTGTGGGTTGGAGGAGGAGCAGGGCTTCTTCGAGTGCTTCCCTCTTAGCCATTGCAGCTGTCCTGAGAAGAAGAACAGGACCTGCCCTGGGTCCTCCATCAGGCTTTCTGTCAGGCAATGGCAGCCTGTGCAAAGCAAAGTAGGAATGGTGAGCAAAATAATATGGCAAAATTATAGACTGCATTCTCACAAAGAGCAACACTGGTGAACGAGAGGCATGTTTTTTTATGAGCTGAAATGCAAGAGAGCGCATGAGGAAGGCAGCTGCTCCTGGTCCTTATCGTGTATCTGCGTAAGTTTCCAGACAAGCCATGGCTAAGCAAGTGCACCCACTTGGGCTGAATCACTGCCACTGATTGTGTTATCTGACTGCAGAGGCTTGGGCTCTGCTTTTAATATGTCGATTTCTTGGCTGCAGACAGGACTGAATTGCCCAAGGGGAAATATTTCAATGCTGGTGAGCCAGATACCTTAGCACATTTCAGATGTTATCTTGCAGACAGATGCTGACTAAATATATGTACACACATGCGCGTGCGCGCGCGCACACACACACACACACACGCACACACACAGAGTCACTGAGCAAAGGTAAAGACGATATGGTTAAAAAGCATTCAGCACCAAGGAACCCCTGTAAGATAAGCTAAACATGCACCCAACTATTCCATTTCCACTCTGCAGCGCATCCACCACCCTGCTAAAGAACAAACAGGCTGATATTCCCTAAACATCGCCATTTTCCTCCTGACTGCATTGCCTGATAGAGTTGAACTTCTTTTTCTTTTTTGGGCCTGTGGTGCTTCAGTTTCTCAAGTTGTGCCTGAAAACAGGATTTGTGAAAAATAATATACTCTGGAGTGAGTGGGGTCATATTTTCAACCAAGCAGGAAGCGGTGAAGGGAGATTGATCTGTCCTTCTTCCCTTTCTGAAAAGCATGCGAAGCGGGGCTCGCCATTTCCTCCGTGGTGACGTTCTCCAGGGTTCTCAGGTTGCTCTACGGGTGAAGTGTCCAAGCCCCACCGCACAGCCATGCTTCCGCTTTGCAACCAGACAGGGAAACTACTTGAGTCTCTCGTGTTTTTTCTTTGAATGCAGTGACTGGCTCTCAGAACATGTGCAGTATACCTACGTCAGCTGTTCATTTGCCAGCCCCTGCAAATGATGTGTCCAGGCCAGAAGGCTGAGTCCAGGCCTTCCATGTCACAGTTGCCCCCTTTGGAACTGTGGCATCTGACCTGTGCGAAAAGCGCCTGTATTTTCATGCAGGTGCGAAGTCCTGGACAATAAACGGGATACTGCTCCACCTTTTAAGGATCTGATCATCCGCATTCCAATCTCACACTTGTTAGATATTAGACTGGACAGGCTTAGCCTGCAGTGATGTAACGGATCGGTCTGTGTGTGGCAGATGGACTGAGGGCCGCTTTCAGAGATGGAGACTGGAGGTAAGGAGATGGCGCCTCTCCCTGAACCTGCCTTGTATCCCAGGTCACGTCCCTCCTGCCGTGGTGCAACACCACGAGCCAATAGACGTCACATTTATTTACTGCCCAAGTTTGCAGTCTTGTCGCTGGCTTTCTGCTGGCCAAAATGGCTTTTGCAGCACCGAGGCACCACCAGCTCACCTCTCGCCCTTTCTGCGCCATCTTGAGACCAGCTTACATGGCGCAACCATCCCATGTTTGGGGAAGCTGGCTGTGGAGAGCACACTGGACCAATCCACCACACTGCAGCATGAGGGCAACATCCAATGATGCTGAAAGTGCTCAGAAGACATTTTTCTGAAGGAACGTCTGAGATTTTTTTCCTCGGCCTCAGTTCCAGGAAAAAGGGCTACTTTGTGGTGGGTGCAAACTGAGTGCTGTGCTGCAGCAATAAGGGGAAAAAAGCCCCGGGGAGAAGAACAGAAGGGCATCACAGGGGCTGTTCTGGATCAGATCAAGGGCCTGTCTAGGTTTAGGCCAACCTTCTGCTCATACAGCTGCCCACAGGAACCCCACAAGTAGGACAGGAGCTCTACAGCACCCTCCTCCCCTTGTTCCCCAGCAAAGCATTCCTGCCTCTGGACACAGGCTACAGCCATCAGGTCCAGCAGCCACGGATCCCCTTACCCTCCTTGAATTTGGAAGCTGCATGACGGTGACTTCCGGTGAGCCCCACCTCTGAGAAAGCATTGGGGAACCGGCCCTCCCCCTGGATGGACGCGTTGAAGTGCTCCCCAGTGTCCCTCCTCTCGGGCTTCGGGGGGGTCACTTGCACTCAGCGCCAGGCACAGTGCCAGCCCAGTCCCACCAGTCTAGGCCTGAGACGGATCCACCTTGCTGAGGCGAGGCAAGTCTGAGCCGGGCTGCCGCCCAGGGCCTGCTGCACACCCCCTTGAGATCCACCATGAGTAGCATGGGCCCCTCTTCAGCTTTCACCTGCTGCAGCAGCTCTCAGCCTCCTTACAGGTTTGCTACTGAAGTGGCAGAGTTCCTCCGAGAATCCCCCTCGTGTGGTAACCGCCTCATTCTTCACCATAACTCTGTCCTTACGTTTATGGAAGGGAAAAAAGATGACTGTTATTTACAAGCCGAGGCCACCCTCTCTGACCCCTCCAGCATCGAGTGCACAGAACTGCAGCAGTTGGAAGCATCCCTTCCGAAAGGCACCCTGTCCAGCTACTCCCAGGTGCCTGCTGCCCCTGCATTCTTGCTGCATCGCTGCCCCGCTGCAGCACTTTTGCAGCTGTGCACGGGAGGACTAATAGCCAAAGTGCTAACAGCAATAAAGCATGCTAAAAAACGGCAGCAGCTCCTTCAGGTTTAATGAGATAATTTGCTAATGGAGGCACGCTGGCTTGGAGCCGGTCAGGGGAAGGGGGAAGGCTGCTGTGCAGCCCCACGGAAGACGCGCCAGGCTCA